GCTTAGAGGGAAGAGTTTGGGTCTTTTCTCATAACTCATCCTCAGCAAAACATCTGTGTCTCATTTAAACTGGGACACCCAGTTATATATAGACCCTCAGATTAATAAAGTTTTTTCTCTACCCAGTTGCACTCAATCCTTAGGTAAATAAAGTTATTGTTTAATAAAGTTTTTGTTTTTACCCAGTTGCACTAAAACAATTAGGAAAATAAAGTTTAAGATGCTTACCAAGTCACCCCCAAGACCCTAAAAGAAAGTCTTAAGCAAATACTGGCTGCAATTTGCAGACCCATAAAGGTAATGCAGTTAATAAAGTTACTTTGTTAAATGAGAAATGTTATACTAAAAAATTATCAACTAAAAAGTTTCAGAATTGCACTGTTCTGCATCTTGTTGTAATAAAAAGGGGGAGATGAAGTGTTTGGGGTTTCAGAAGTGCCAGCAGAGTATTCTGGGAAACGAAGTCTGCGGGACCCCGGTGCACATGAGCAGTGAAGACCCTTGGCAGGATTGGTTGAGAGGGTTACCTGTTGGGACGTGTTACAATTCAAAACTGCTACTGCAGCCTTTGTTCTCTCTCAATAAAGCATTCTGTTATACACCATATTGGTGTCTCTTGGTCCATGCAGACTCTTTATTTATTATATTATTAATATTACAACAGTTCTTTCCACATCTCAGCTTTGGGAAAGGTTGGGGAAGGTTGGGAAAGGCGTTAACAGGGTGGTTTTGCCTGAGGTGTTAAACATGAGAGCGGGTCTATCTTCACAATTCCCAAGAGAAGAGACGGTAGAAAGCTGCCCTGCAGGTTGTATTTGAAGAAAAAGGAAAAGAGACCGAGGGGAAGGGGTTTCTTTCCTGGAGGGCAGGGCTGTCGTTCACTTGCAGGAGCTCCATGCTGGAATTGTCAGTCCGACTGCCAAATTTGAATGTGGACAAAGATTCCTGCCAGACAAAAGGTGCCAGGCCAGAAAGCTCTTGCAATCCATGCAGTGCCCATAGTGGCCCAACAACTGCACATGAGAGACATAAGGGCCTTCTTTCCTAGGGGAAGGGCAGTCATTCTCTTGCAGGAGCCTGCGCTGTAATTGCCAGTCCAACTCCAAACATTGAATACGGACAAAGATTCCTTCCAGACAAAAGGTGCCAGAACAGAACACTCTTGCTGCCCATGGAGTGTCAAGAGTGGCCCTCCAACTGCAGCATGAGAGACCAGGGGAAGGGCTTTCTTTCCTGAGTGGAAGTGCTGTTGTTTGCTTGTCAGAGCACTGCACTGAACTTGCCAGTGAGACTCCCAAAACGGAATATGGTCAAATATTCCTCCCAGAAAAAAAGGTGGCAGGACAGAAAGCTCTTGCTACCTATGGAGTGCCAGGGTGGCCCACCAACTGCACCTGAAACCCGAAGGTTTTAGCCTTTCTTTCCTGGGGGAAAGGCCGTGACATCACAAAGGGGCAATGGCAGATGGGGGGGCTGCACTTTGACATTCTGTGACGTTGGTTCTTTAGTTTCTAGGGGCTATTCCAGAATGGAGAAAATGGGCTGTGACATCACAAAGGGGCCCATGGCACATAGATTGGGCTGCACTCTGGGGTGTGAGGCATTGGTTTTTTGGTTGCCAGGGGCTGTTCTGGAATGGAGAGGACAGGCTGTGACATCACAAAGGGGCCCATGGCACACAGGTGGGGCTTCACTTTGGGGTTGTAGGGTGTTGGTTCTTTGGTTGCCAAGGGCTATTCCAGAATGGAGAGGATGGGCTGTGACATCACAAAGGGGCCTCAAGCACATGGGTTGGTGTAGTGGGTTGACCCTGGCTGGATTTCAAACACCCACTAGAAGCCACTACCTCCCCCTCCCTCTGCAATTCCACAGAGATGAGAAAGAAACCAACTGAGGATTCCTGAGTAGAGATAAGGGTTAGGAGAAAGTTGATTACTAATGGGCAAAAAAGACTCAAAGTAGGGATAGCACTTAAATTTATTCCTAACAGGATAAAAGCCAAAGAGTGAGAAATAAAAGAGTTTTAAAAACACCTTCCCCCCACCCCTCCTTCCTTCTCAGCTCTCCCTCCTCCTCCTCAGCAGTGCAATGGGGACAGGGAAAGGGATTGCCGTCAGGTGTTGTTTGAGTCCATCCCTCGGGCAGCAGCTCTTCCCATTCTGCTGTCCTGTGGGTTACTCTTTCCTGGGCTGCAGGGGGGTCTCTGCACCCCGATGCTCCTCCATGGTCTGCAGGGGGACACCTGCGTTACTTTGGTCTCCACCAGGGGCTACAGGGGGGCCACAGCTCTGAGTCTTTCCCCTGTTCCCATGGTGGTCCCATCCAAGGGAGACAGTCCTGGATGGACCTCTCCAACATGCGTCCATCCCTCGGGCAGCAGCTCCTCCCAATCTTCTGTCCCGTGGGTCCCTCCTCCATGGGGTCAGTCCTTCAGGGATGAGCTGAACCGGCGTGGGTCCCCCACAGGGGCCACGAGTCCTGCCTAGGAAAAACCTGCTCCAGCCTGGGTTTCCCTCTCCATGGGCTGAAGGTCCCTGCCAGGACCTGCTCCATCCTGGGCCTGCCCCGGGGTCACAGCCTCCTTCCTGCATCCCCCTGCTCCAGCGTGGGCGCCTCCAGGGGCTGCAGGGGGGTCTCTGCACCCCGATGCTCCCCCATGGGCTGCAGGGGCCTCAGCTCTGAGTCCTTCCCCTGCTCCTGTGGGGTCCCTCCTGCCCCTCCTTCTGCACTGACCTTGGTGTCTGTGTTATTATCCCACATTCTCACTCTGCTCTTCCCAGGATGGAATTTTTTCTGTGCAACTCTCCTCCCTTCTGAAATATGTTATCCCACAGGTGTTACTGTCACTCCTAAGTGGCTCAGCCTTGGCCAGTGGCAGGAACTCCATCCTGGAGCATCTGGCATTGGTTCCATGGCACAGGGGAAGCTTCTGGCAGATTCTAACAGAAGTCACCCCTGGAGCCCCCCCACTACCAAAACCCAGCCACAGAAACCCCCTGTCTCGTGCAGCTCTTTCTCCAAGCCAAGCAGGTGGGATTTGGGGCCAAGGAGCTGAAACCTGCAGGTCCAGCCTTTAGTGGAGGAAGCTCAGATTTGCCCAAGGCTGCTTTGAGTCCCAGGGTTGGATGAGGGAATGTTGGGGTGGGGATGGGGATAAAGTCTGATGGATTGTCAGACATAAAAGGTCTTGATTTTGGTATTTAGTCAGACTGAATTAAGAGAAGCTTGGGATCAATATCGACTGGGAATTGCTGGTACCAATGTAAAAACAGGAAAAAAGAAAGCAGGTCACAAAAAGACATCTTTATTTGTGGTTTTATTAATACAATATATTCACTTTGAATACCACTCTTCACTCTAGAACTTCATCTCCCTCTCCCTTCAGGTGTTTCCAGCTCTCCTGTATGAATGGCCATGTCTCAGGACATCCCTTCAGTAGACTTGCTGGATGTGTGTCTTTCCCGTTGCTCCCTGGTTTCCTCCTCCAGTTGCTCTGGTCATTCCATGCCTCTCAATTGACTGGTTTCATGCTTTGAGCATCAGGAAGCTGCCAATCTTTCAGAAGTTTAAACAGCACATTAGTCAATACTTTACTTGTGTTTATATCTATCATAGAACAACTTTTTCTTATGTCTGTGTCTAAACCTCTTCCTATATGGAAATCCCTTGTGAATAGGTGACACTTCAGATGCTGCTGGGACATGGCACAGAGCTCAGGGAAGGGTATTGATGTTTATTAGGATGTATCATCCTTACATTTTTTTTATATTGGCCATGAATAGAAACTTTCTGTGGCTCTAAGTCTCACCAGTTCCAGCAAAGAACACAAACCTGATGTGTTTGGTTCTCACTCCAGTGGCTCTTGGAGCTCCCTCTGTACCCAGAGCCCAGAGCTCCCTTGTCCCACCAAGTCCTGGGAAATGGAGGGATTCAGGACACAGGACAGGCTGTGGGGACCAGTTGCAGGCCATGGCCAGGGATTTGGGGTGGTTGTGAGCCCAGGGCAGGACCCAGCACTTGGCCTTGTTGACCCTCCTCCAAGTGTCCTGGGCCCATCGATGCAGTCTGTCCAGATCCCTCTGCAGAGCCTTCCTGCCCTCCAGCTCATCAACACTCCCACCCAGCTTGGTGTCACCTGTGAACTGACTGAGGCTGCCCTGATCCCCTTGTGCAGATCATTGACAAAGATATTGAACTGCCCTGAGCCCAGTGCTGAGCCCTCCATTCCCCACCACTTCTTGGGCCTGCCCGTCCACACAGATGTTTACCCAGTGAACAGATGCTGCAGGATGTGTTTGATCAAGGTCCTGTAAGCCCAGAATATTGGGATGAGTGCAGATTTAGCTCTGGACAGCACAGAAATTCATTCACTTTCTCCCTTTTCCTCCCTCTGTGGAGCGAGGGAGCTTGTAACTTCAGTGTGTGACTCGCTGTGTGCAAAGGGCAAATATGGACAGAATCCGGGACAGGGAGTGTTTGGGGGATCTTGGGATCTGGGCTTGACACAGAAGGTGTTTGCCATTGGTCTCAGACTACCTACTGTGCAAAGTGGACTTCAGTAGAGCTTAATATGGACTTAATATACAGCAGAGGATTAAGGGATTTTTTATTCAGCTGTGCCTTCTTCTGGTTTTGTATCCTGGCAATAAGTGAACATCCCTCTGTGTCTCGTGCAGCTCTTTCTCCAAGCCAAGCAGGTGGGAGTTGGTGCCAAGGAGCTGAAACCTGCAGGTCCAGCCTTTAGTGGAGGAAGCTCAGATTTGCCCAAGGCTGCTTTGGGTCCCAAAGGTTGGATGAGGGAATGGTGGGGTGGGGATAGGGATAAAGTCTGATGGATTGTCAGACATAAAGAGTCCTGATTTTCTTATCTATTCAGACTGAATTAAGAGGTGCTTGGGATCAATATCGACTGGGGATTGCTGATATCAATGTAAACCCAGGAAAAAAGTAAACAGGACATCTTTATTTGTGGTTTTATTAATACAATATATTCACTTTGAATGCACTTCTGAGAACTGAATAATTAACCACAAATGAATTGAAGACTTAGAAGTAAATTATTCCCAGGGGCTTGTCTGGTTACGATGTCATCACTGAGCAGAGAGTGTGGAGGAATGAGCAGACAAAGTAAACCATCCCTGAGGTAGGATGTTTGACAAAGAAGTTGTTGCAGGAATTTTTATTTTGTTTAAATGCACATAGAGAATGATTCCTCATTTACACAATTGTGGGTAAAAACAAAAAGAGAGAGTATTAATTAGGTATGGGATGAAGAATAAAATTTCTGTGTTAACAACATTAAAAGAGGAAAAAATACAGGAAAACCCACCACAGACACTCAAAAAAACCTTTAGAAAGCCAACTGGGCCAGTGAAGGGTTACACAGTGCATGTTCTGCAGAAGAAAAGAAACAGGTTATTGTTCCTGAAAAGCATCCAGTCATCATTTTCCTTATGGCATCCCTGAGCTCCTGGTTCCTCAGGCTGTAGATGAGGGGGTTCAGGGCTGGAGGCATCAACGAGTACAGAACTGACAGGCCCAGATCCAGGGATGGGGAGGCGATGGAGGGGGGCTTCAGATAGGTCAATGCTGCAGTGCTAAAAAACAGAGAGACCACAGCCAGGTGAGGGAGGCACATGGAAAAGGCTTTGTGCCATCCCTGCTGAGAAGGGATCCTCAGCACAGCCCTGAAGATCTCAACGTAGGAGAAAACAATGAAAATGAAACAACCAAACCCTAAACAGGCACTAACCCCAAAAAGTCTCAGTTCTCTGATGCTGGAGTGTGAGCAGGAGAGCTTGAGGATGTGTGGGATTTCACAGAAGAACTGGCCCAGGGCATTGCCCTGGCACAGGGGCAGACAAAATGTATTGGCTGTGTGCAGCAGAGCATTGAGAAACCCAGAGGCCCAGGCAGCTGCTGCCATGTGGGCACAAGCTCTGCTGCCCAGGAGGGTCCCGTAATGCAGGGGTTTGCAGATGGCAACGTAGCGGTCATAACACATGATGGTCAGGAGAGAAAACTCTGCTGACATGAAAAACGTAAAGAAAAGAGCTGTGCAGCACATCCTGTGTAGGAGATGGTTGTGGTGCCCCAGAGGGAGTTGTGCATGGCTTTGGGCACAGTGGTGCAGATGCAGCCCAGGTCTGTGAGGGAGAGGTGCAGCAGGAAGAAGTCCCTGGGGGTGTGCAGGTGCTGGTTGCAGGCTACGGCGCTGAGGATG